GCGAACACTGCCGGCGTCCGGCGCCGCCCTCGCCGACCCGAGCACCCCACCGGGGGTCGGGATACGGCGGGCGTGTTCGCGCGCGCAAAACATGTCGCGCACCTGTCAGACGTTACACCTGGTGATGCGACCGCTGCCAGCGGCCACCAGGGAAGGAAGGCCCCCTCCCCGCACGCGCTGACCTGCGCGGCGTTCTCGCACCTGCGACGCACACGTTCGGCCGACCCGAGGCAGGACCCCTCGCAGCCGGTGCGCATCGCCTCTTGCACGGCGAAGTCCACGCCGGCGCCCATCCCAAATTCTCCCCGGTAACCCCACCGGGGCCCAGGGTGTGGTGGGTGGGAAACAAACCAACAGCAACCGCTGTCGCCAACGCGCTTTGCTCGCACGATCCAATTGCGCGCTCTGATGCGCGCAGTCCCTGCGAGCGCGCGCGGGCGTCCCCTTCTGTCATGATTATGGTTCCCTGACCCGAGCCTCCCCGAGCCTAAAGTCAACGCATAATCACCGACAGCCTATTCCCCGCGCCGCGCCCTGCGCGGCCCCTGGCAACTTTCGCGCGCCGCGCATCGCACGCGCCCCGCCGCGGCGCGAAGCGCACGCGGGCGGCCCGCTCCTCCGCGCGCGCGCGCGCGCTCCACCTGCGAACACGGCGCGCGACGGCCCCATCCTCCCACCCATTCCCCCAACCCATACCCCGTCCCCCGACCCCAGAAAGTGCAACGGTGCTCCGGGGGTGCAGAACGACCTTGGGGTGACCAAACCCCCCGAATGGAACACCTGCGTGAAGAAGGCAAGACCCTGGCGTGGCTCGCCAGTAATGCCGCTCTCCCCAACGCTGCTCTGGCTCCGCGTTTCTGCACCCCCAACGCTGTTCTGGGTCCGACGCCGCTCCGCAATCGCGCGTCGATGTACACGGCGCCCCGTGTCTGAGGCATGCCCGTGCCCCGCGGCTGGGCCCGCGCTCACCTCTCCTGCGCGGACTCCTTCTTTACGGCGAATCCACTGAGCCTGGCGCGGCACGCTGCACGCCGCGGCCCACCCCCCGCGAATTGCCCTCGCGGAGCGCGCCTTCCGCGCGCCGTAGCACCCAACGCCACGCGTCTAGTAAGCACCCGCGCCACGCGGCCGGGTCCACTCTCACCTCGCCGGTACGAAAACCATTCTCCCGGGCGAAGCTATCCTCGCCGAGCCGCCTGGCACCGCGCGAGTGGCCGACTCGGGGGAAGGCCGCCCCCGCGCGCGTACGGCGCGCCGTGAGATCCCGTCCGACCAGTTGCTTTTCGAGTCTACCCACTCGAGCCAGGTGGACATGTCGCAGTGAAACTGGCGCGACACGCTGCACGGCGCGTCCCCCCGCGATTTGCCCTCGCGGCGCGCGCCTTGAAGAAATTCATAAGCTTGACGCTCCGGTCCAGGGTAGCATGGTCGCACCTGCCACTCACGAAGCTGTGGAGAGCGCTCGTGTTGTCAAGCACCCACAGGATGCGCCTCCCTCGGCACCTCCGCGCCTCTTGCGCCAGGACAATGGGGACCATGGCCCCCTCACAGAGGGCGATCGGATTCGCGCCCCTCTCCCGGTCCGCCGGCGAGAAACCCCACTCCGCGAGTATGGCATCGTCGAATACACACCATCCTCCCACACGCTCCCCTGTCAAGCAATCGACCAGGAGGTAGCCGCCTGTGGGCGCGGTCGCCCCGTCAGCCCGCGCGTCGCTTGCGATCACAATCAGCGGACACGAGGGCGGGCTCACGTCGACGCTTCTCTTCGGGGCAAGGTCTATTACAAATTCGAAGTAATCGAAGCACCGCCGAATCGCGTGGGATAACGCCCACGGAGGCGCGTCAGTGTACTGCCTCTGCTTCAGCGGCGCCATCGCGGCGCTGCCGACGCCGTTGAACATCGCGGAGGACGACCACTGCAGAATGCCCCGGAGCTTCGAGGCCTCCGCTGGTGTCAGGCTGTTCCGCGCACGGTGCTCCGCGAGCAGGCCTTTGATTTTGTCAATCATGCTGGCCTTCGGCCAAAAGGAGACCACCCCTCTGCCTTCAAAAACCCGAGACACGTCGTGATCGACTCCCAAGAATGCCCCAGTGGCGGCCATGCGCTGCTGCTTCGCGCTGGCATTCGGGGTACCCAACTCCGAAAACAAGACGTTGAGTAAAGCCTGTCCCGAGCCTTTCGCCAATCCGAGGTCCCCAAGACTGCCATCATCGACATACATTGTGTGCAACAATGCCGCCACGCGCCTGGCAGCGGCTTCCAGAAAGGCAGACCACCGCATGAAATTCATAACACTCGACGACAAGCCGAACAGCATGGCGAATGCAGTCAAGTATCGCCACTCCCCGCTGCGCGGTTCCCGCGCCGCAATGACGTTATATCGCAGCTGCGCGGGATTGACCGGCACGGACCTGTATGCGTCCGGCAGGTCCTCGCCTCCAGTCTCAAGGGTTAAGCCCTCATCAGCAAAGCCTCCCGCCGCAGCTTCCTGCCTGAGGGCGCACGCCAAACACCGGGCCGGACCACGCCCCTTGGACACCGGAGGGGCCCACTAGGCCCACACGAACGGACCCGGGGGAACGGCCCGCGGGAAACCCGCGACACACCGGCCGGCGGGGAGGGGGAAAAGGCCACCTCCGGTGTTTGGCGTACCTCCCGACCGCTGCCTCAAGACTTTGCCATGCAATGCAGGCGTGAACGCTGATGGCAAGTGCCACTTCTCAGGGTACACCGTCGCGCCGTTCTGCCCACCGGCTTTAGCATCGTCTATCCGCCGACGCTTGCCGTTCTGCTGCACGTGCACGAACGACGGCACGGCCGCCCAGCGCCCGGCGCCGTACTCGCGGTCCATCGCGGCCAGCGACGCCGGAGGAGCAGCCCAGCCCTTCTCGCATTCCTTCAAGCATGATTCCCAAAGAAACTCAGCCTCAGGATCAACCCGTCGCTTGTCCCTGGAACGTAAAAGCGCGGTGGACTCCGCCAACAAGCGGTCTTCAGAAACAGGTTCCGAACTTTCGCACCGCTCCCAGACACCCGTCTCCTCCAATCGCCCCACGATATTGAAGCCGGTCACAAATCTCTGGGCCAGCTGCCAATCCGGCCAACCCATCACCCAAGTCAGAACACAAATCAGCGCGATGTGGGTGTTCTGCGCCACGGCATGTACTGAGGGGCTTTGCCAGAGCCGAAGGGCGCGGGACACCGGCGCCAGCCTTTGACTAAGCTCCTTCAACGCCCCGGCGCAAGACTCGCGCCACTGCCTCAGCCGATTACCACCGGCCCACGCGAACGCAACCGTGGCAAAGGCAGCATACTTCAAATCAACGGGTGCCATGTACTCATCGTCGAATGGCAATCGCCCCGCGCTCGCGAATTCGATGCATTGAGCGAGGTGTGCCCGCTCCCCCACGCCGAGTTCGATAACCGGCGCCAGCGCTAGCCTGTGGTCGAGCACGCCTGCCTGGCGACCCAACACGGCGCTCGCGCGCCCCTTGGAATTTCTGCCCAGAGAACATCCCAGAGGTAGTCCTTCGTCCTGCAGCTCCGCCCAGATGGCGAAATCAACGAATGGCGAAGTATTCAACAAGTCTTGCAAGAACGGGATGGGAACGCCCACCAGCCACTCTTCCGGAAAGGACTTCCGAATTTTCACAGCGATGTCCGCCTGGCTCCATCGCACGCCCACGACGCTGGGGCACGCGACCCCACTGGTGACTGCCCCTTCTGCCGCGGCGGGCGGCGCGGCAGCGGGTGCGTTTCAATCGCCCTTGCGGCCGCGCTTGCCGCCGTCGGCCGCGCCCCCGCTCGCGTTCCTCGTGTCGCAAACTACAACGCCGGGTGTTCCGAACATTCGGCGCTAACCGTCGCCTTTCCCGGACCCAGGGCGCCCCCGGACCCGGGCCGCCCCCTTTAAGCTAACAGGGAAACCAAAAACTGAGACCCGGGCTCCTGGTGCACTTGAGGGCGCAGTGGTTCGACATGCCACACAAGCGCCCCGTCTTGTTGATCACGACGGAACAGACGTGCTTATACCCGCGAGGGCACGGCTCGGAGCACTCCCCGGCGTTGAACTTGCGACACACCTGGGTTCCGTCTTTCAACCGATCGCCCAACTGCGCGCCCTTGCCACCTGTCCGCTGGCTCCGCCCGACGCTCGTCGGCGGCCGCTGCGGCCCGGGAGCTGGCGGTGAGGGCGGGCTCCACATGACCTCGCGAGTCTGCAAGCCCTCGCGGATTATCTTCCCGACGCTCAGCTCGCTGGTGCGGACCCTGTCCGTCCACCAAGCGCGCTCCTCCTCGTCCCGACGCACGACGTTAGGCAGCGCAATCGAGAACGGCATCGCACTGGCGTACTTGACCAAACGGAAATGGTAGGCCATCGCGACATCCAACGGAATCTGCACGAAATCCGTCGTATCCGAAGACGCCTTCTCTGGCGTCCCGGGCGCCGGGTCAATCGGCTTCACCCCAGCGCGCGCGCATGCCACCATGAGAACCTGGTGCAACGCGATATAGGTTTTCAAGTCCTTCGCGGGATCCGGATCTTCCTTCTCGTCGCACACGAATTCGACATCCCCAATGCGCTGCCGCTTCCTGGCAGCCCTCGCGGCATTCAGCAACGTGCGGACCTTCCATACACTCATCATCGTCACCTGGCGCCTGCCGACCATGGGGGGCCGCGCGCGCGACGCGGTCACCCCCTCCGCGTGCAATGGGGCGCGCCTGCCCAGCTCCCTGCTGATCTTACTGACCAGCGCTTCGGACGGCTCACACTCCGCTGGGTGCGCCATCTTATACCGAGCGAAGAACTGCTCGCTCAATTCAGCGAGCTGCGGCGACGGCAATGGGACATCGTCGCTCTCGTCCAAACCGCGCCTCTTCCGGGTCTCGGACTCCCGGGCGGCATCGCACACGGCTTTCCACGCCTGCCGCACTACGCGCTCGAACTGCGGCGCGGGCCAGGCAGGGCCCCCCCCCGCGCAGGCGAAGGCCGCGCCTGGCGCACGCGGGACAGCTGTCCCAGCCTCCTCTCGAGATCCGGCACGCGCTCGAGGATCGGCGCCCACTCGTTCTCGCTCGTGACGGCATGCGCGAAATCGACCAACGTCTCTAGACCCACGGTTTCGACCAGGTGGGTGGCGATGCGCTCATCAAACTGATACTTCGCGGCCAGCTCTCTGAATTGTGCAGCGGCGTCGCGAGCGCCGACGCGCCCCGGCAGCGCAATGCCGTCAACTGACAAAGACATACCGAGAACCACACGTGTCGCTCCGCTAAACCTACTCTCTGGACCGCGTTCGAGCCCACCTCGGGGCGCGCATACGCATCCGTTAAGTTGGCATTCGCTGGCAGGCCCACGCGCAACTCCGCGCGTCTCCGCCGCGATGACGTCACCACCTCACGCCGGGGCTGCCCGGCCGCGCAACTTTTCACACGCCGCGCACACCAGGGCTCCCTCCGGGAGCGCCGGGAACCACTGCAGATCACTCAATCCATTCTGACATAGGTTCGTCACTGGCCCGAACTCACTGTCCGTCCAGGCTCTGGACTTTTTGAGGCGACGAATTACGGGCATCGCGACGTGATATCGAGGCCCCATAACCTCCCTTACCCGGGTAGCCCTCCCAGGCTCAGACTGCACGTGCCCGATCGCGCCCCGCGGCTCGGGCGACGGGCCCACGGCTCGCGACGCGCGCGCGGATGATCCCTCCGCAACCTGCCTGACTGGCGGCGCGCAGTGCGCTGGCGCGCCATCTGAGCCCTTTGCGTCACATTCACCCAACTCCGCGCCCTGCGCTGCCTCGTCACCTGGAAGCACGGTCACCGCGCGACCGGCGCAGTAAACTCCCCGCGCTTGGAACGCGGCCGGGCCTGCACGGGTTGCGTCTCCCGGCCGCACCCACACTTCATCTCCCCTGGACCTGGGGATGGAGACAGCCTCCAATGCCGCCCACGCCCGGGCACAATACCGCTGGGCCGCGCGATCGACCCGCGGTTCGCCCTGCGCGGCCCGCAATGGCAACCGACGCCGGACTGGCGCGCGCTCCCGCCTCTGCTGGTCGCTTGTTTTTGCCGGCAACTTTCGGCGCTCTGCGTGGACTCGCAGGCGCAGGCAACGCGTTCCCACGCAAACCGCCCGGCGCTTTACCGCGCCCCCCCCGCTTTGCACGCGGTGCCCCCGACGCGAGGGTTTGCGCAGCGCGCGCACGCGCGCCCGGCGCTTCGGCGCCCGCCCCCCCCTCACCGCTCTTACCCGCGGCGCCCCCGTCGGCAGGACCCCGACAATTGGGTGGAGGCGCGCCCGGCGCTTTACCGCGCCCCACCCGCTGTCCACGCGGGGCCACGATTATCCGGAGAAACTTCTGCCGCCTCAACTCCTCGACGACCGACGGGGGCAAGAACGCGGCCTTCTCACGAACGGTCGACACCGCCACCCGCTGCTGCGCCTCTTTCTCTAGGTCGGCCAACATTACTTTTCCTGGCGCAGAACTCGCCCAGCATCGCACTTGCTCCCACTGCACTGGGGCCTCCAGATCGGTCCGCAGGCACGACAACACTCCGGCCATGTGCAGGCGCGTGCACATCTCGGCTTGCCGCCGACGCGCATTATACACGATCGGCATCTGGTTCCGACGGGAGTTGTCTCCCCCCTCCGTCCAACCGCCCGAGATGACTCGGGCTTCCCAGTCCAATTGTATCGCGCTCGCCCATGTAGGCCCAGCCCGGCGCAAACTGTACGAAGTCACAAGATCCAACTGGGAATCGTCCGCTAGCGAGCCTCGGAATACTTCCTTCAGCGATCGGTTAAAGGCACCCAACTTCACCGGCGCGCCGGAAACTGGATCGAAGACGAGCCCCGTCGGCACAGCCCTTCCTGCTCGATCTTCCCGCGCCGCCAACTTGTGCCAACCATCCCACAAGGCGTCAGCGGCGGACCGCGCGCCACCTAGCCGCCTCGGCAAGCACCAATCGAACGAAGGTCGCCCCTGTCGCTTTCCCTGCTTCCCCCTCGATGCGCGGAACCAGCAAAAATAAACAGACTTCTCTAAAGGCCTAGAGCGCAGCAGGTGCGTGTACCTCACCCACGCGAATACCACCGCCAGCATCCCAGCCGCGAGCATGACTTGCCCAGGCGTTCTCGCGCCATCCAGGAAATCGATCACATGGTAAATCATCTCGGGTTCGACGACAGTGGCCTGGGCCGGCGGTGCTACGGTTCCACTGCCTGGATCACGTGGCACAGGGCGAAACGCATCGTCCAGGCAGAAAGGCGCTTTCAAATGTACGCACATCCACTTCAAGGCGTTCCAGATCCTGACGCCGGACGTCCGTGCGATCGAGAGCTTATGCACGAACTCGGCGACTGCCATGGGTTGCCGCGCCAGACTCGTCGCCGGCTGCCCTTGCCGGCCCGCCCACTCGGCCCACTGCCCCCACACGCGCAAGGCCGTGCGCAGCGTCCCGGCTTCGAAATTACTCAGCCTAAACACCGCCGCGGACGAGACGTCGGCGAGCATCTCGGCCTGCGCCTCCTGCAACCCCTGCCCGAGGCCGCTTTCCGGGCGCCATTCAAGCGACACTCGAACTACGCTGACCGCCAGCTGAACGCGCCCCTCACGCTCTGCCGCCTCCGTCGCCACTGCGGCACAGCGTCTCGGCCGACCGCGGCGCGCGGCGGTAGGCCCACGCCCTTTCCCCGCCGCGGCCCCCGCGCTCACGGCGGGCGCGGCGGCCGCCGCCGCGCCGCCAAATCGCCCCTCCGCGCAAATGCCATGCGCGGGCACCAGCCACGGCGTCACCCGCGCCACGTCCCGAGCCACGGCCCAGGCCGTGGGCACTCCACACTGCTCCGCCTCGTCCGTCGAGCAAAACAAATGCGCTAAATCGCCAGCCGACTCCAGTCCCTCTCTCTGCACGAGCGCAGAAAGGGACTCGCGCTCGGAGGAATCGACCCTCCAATCTAAGAACTCTTCGATGAAGAGCTCTCCGCGCTGCCCGGCCATCAAGCAGCACACAAGCAAGAAACAAACCAACAGCAACCGCTGTCGCCAACGCGCTTTGCTCGCACGATCCAATTGCGCGCTCTGATGCGCGCAGTCCCTGCGAGCGCGCGCGGGCGTCCCCTTCTGTCATGATTATGGTTCCCTGACCCGAGCCTCCCCGAGCCTAAAGTCAACGCAGAGACATTCTCGAAAAACCGGGATATTGAAACAGCTGCTTCAAGACCTCCCATGTTTAAACATCAAGGTTTCGCCTGCGACATCCTCGATAACAAATGAACAGCTGAAATGGCTCGCGCAATGCTCCGATCATCAAACATGGAGCTCTCGCCTGAGACCATATGAGAACGCGAGCTGTTGAAATAGCTGGTTTGCTATATCTTTTTGGGCTCTCTTAGAAGACACCCAAGATGGCCCGACAACCGAGATCATCGAAGCACCAGCGTTAGTTTTCACACGTTTGTTCAACAGCAAGCGTTTCGCTCGACGTATCCTCGAACCATGCGCTCGGACAGGCAAGCTGATGAAAACACACACACACGGTTTTCACACACGTCTACTTAAGCGTCAGCGTTTCGCTCGAGACATTCTCACATCTACGTATTACACTGAGGGTCTTCGAACATCGGGGGTTGGGGGGTGAGATCGCAGTGGAACGGAGACACCCAAGCGGGAAATCGTTCGTTTCGTTCGTGTCGTGCGTGCGGGCGAGGCGAAGCTGCGTGGGCGCGCGAGAGGAATGAACCCGCCGCTGCTATGGCGAAGTCAAAACAACTGATTCTCCCCCGCCCGCCAGTCCGGCGGTGGCTCGCGGTGTCCCGCGGTGCCCCATGGTGTCCTGTGGTGTCCCGTGGTTTGCGCAGTTGCTAAGGCGAAGTCAAGACAAATGATTCTCCCCCGCCCGCCCGTCCGGCGATGGCTCGCGGTGTCCCGCGGTGTCCCATGGTCTCCCGTTGGGTGAGATCGATAGTGGGATCGATAGTGAAATCGATAGTGAGATCGATGTGGTGCCCCGAGGTATCCCGTGGTGTCACGTGGTGCCCCAAAAAGTGAGATCGATAATGAGATCGATAGTGAGATCGACAGGTGTCCCGTGGTGTCCCGTTGAGTGAGATCGATAGTGAGATCGATGCTGAATTCGATATGGTGCCCCGAGGTGTCCCGTGGTGTCCCAAAAAGTGAGATCGATCGTGAGATAGATAATGTGATCGACAGGTGTCAAATGGTGTCCCGTGGTGTCCTGTGGTGTCCCGTTGAGTGAGATCGATCGTGAGATCGATAGTGAGTCCCGAGGTGTCCCGTGGTGTCGCGTTGAGTGAGATCGATAGTGAGATCGATAGTGAGTCCCGAGGTGTCCCGTGGTGTCGCGTTGAGTGAGATCGATAGTGAGATCGATAATAAGATCGAGAGGTGTCCCGCGGTGTCCCGTGGTGTCCCAAAAAGTGAGATCGGTAATAAGATCGATAATGAGATCGACAAATGTCCCGTGGTGTCCCGTTGGGTGAGATCGATAGTGAGATCGATTGAGTAAGATGTTGGTTCCCCCCTGCCCCCCCCCCACAACCTCATCACCCGAAGGGTGGTCGTGTAGGTATCAGAGTATGGTCAAACGGCTGACGTTGGTGCTGACGCTGATGCTGACGCTGATGCTGCTGATGCTGGTTCTCAAGATGATGATGGTGATGATTATGGTGGTAACGTTGGCGATCGTGACGATGGCGATGCTGGTGGTGATGATGATGGTGATGCCGACGGGGAGCCAGGACACTAGCAGGGACTTAATCGTGCGACATCTCGCTGCACTCCAGAGGCTGTAAGTACAGCCGTCGTTTGCGGTTCTTCCTAGGGCTTCGCGCGCTCCCTTCAATATTGTTGTTTCCTGAACTTGTGCAGGTAGTGAACTGCACCTGCTGCCTGCGGGGTTGGTGGGGGGGAGGTCCGAAGACGACCCAGGAAGCATAGTCTTTGAACAACATTGGGTGTTGTCCAGCACGTTTGCTTAGCAACATGCGTGTTTTCCAAGACCTCATCAAGCATCCCGTCGGGCAGCTTTTAGAACATATCAAGCGACAGTGAAGATGCTGATATTGGCGTTGATGATGGTGGACGTGGTGATGGCGGTGGTATTGATGATATCGCTCGTGATGCTTATACTGACGATGACGCCGACGCCGATCAGGACGGTGGCGAGAAACTTGCGTGATTTCAGCACGCACTGCAGTCACGCGGATTTGCGGGCCTCATCCCAGGAGGGGGGCGAGCTGCCCCAGGTGGTCCGAACCAAGACCAGGAGCACTCTACTACCTGCGCCAGTTCAGCGCCACGTCTGAATTTGCGCGGGTAGCGAGTTCCACTTGATACCCCCTGTGGACGTTCGGGAATTACGCCTATGCTACACTTTACCTCAACGTTGGGGCACGTTCATTGCACGCTTTTCGATGTCACATGCATCCCGTTCATGCCAAGACAAGCTTCTCAACCAACGCGGTTTCGATCGGGACATCATTGCATGGTTTCGGAAGGGGCTCTGAACCAACATCGTCTTGGCATCGCTCTTGGGTTGGGCTCACCGTGGCCCAACAGAGCCCCCAGAGGCCCCCCCATGGACCTACAGCGGGCCACAAGGTGTCCCCAAGAGCGCCCGGGGAGGACCCCAGACTGCCCAAGAGAGCCCCCAGACGGCTCAAGATGGCGCCAAGACGGCCTGCGAGAGCCTCCAAAGTTCTCCAAGACACGGCCAGGCAACCCACGAAGACCGCACGATGCCCCAAGATAGGTCCAAGCAGCCCCAACAACCACCCAAAATAGCATCAAAAGATCATGGATACCCCCCTTTCCGACGTCCCTTTCCTCGTGCTCCTGACCATCCTCCTTCGTCGTCTTCCTCCTCCTGCTTCTTCTCCTCCTCCTCCTCCTCCTCCTCCTCCTCTTTTTCTCTGTTTCATTCCTCCTCGTACTCGTCCTCCATCTCCTCCTCGTCCGTGTGCTTGTCTTCTTCCTTGTTGTCCTCCTGCTCCCCTCGCTGCCCTCCCCGTCATCCACGTTATCATCCTCGTCATCCGCCGCCCTGTCGTCGCCATCATCCTGTACTTCTTTCTCCCTACGAAACAAATTGACAAAATCGGCGTTTCCCGTTCTTGTCCGATCAGGTTCGCGCGACAGCGCAACTGGCTAACGATTTGCTTTCCATCTTTCGTAAGAAGAGGGAATTCGAAGTTAGACGTGTCCGTTCCCTGGCAAGCAAGGGAGAGCACCTGAGCGACCTGCACTTTGTACTCCTCCGTGATAAAGTGCTCCACCAAGGGCAAACCGAGAGCCTCATCCTTAGAATAACCAGATAACTCGGCAGCAATCCTGTTCCAAATTGTCACCTTCAGGTCAACGTTGACGCCAAATATGGGAGCGTTGGCCGTTTCAATCAAGCGAGCCCAATCATCAGCGACGCGTTGATGTTCAAGCATAAGTTTTTTCAAGTCAGAAATATCTTGGCCAACACTTATCACACCTGTGATGTCGCCATCCGCGTTGCGTCGAGTTGTAGCGTTGAGCAAGATAAAACGCCTGTAACCGTCCTTCGTCACAATCGTCACCTCATAGTTCGCCGTATCGTGGCCTGAGAGTGCCATGTCAATGACTCTCCGAACTTCCTCTCTGAATTCTGGCAGAATAAACTCGTCCACAAAAGGCTTTCCTTCCGCTTCCTCTCTTCGGAAGCCGGTGATCGTGGCTGTCTTCTGGTTCCACTGCGTGATTCTCCCATGCGTGTTGACCCCAAAAATTGGAGCATTTGCAGTGTCGATCAGACGCTCCAAATCACCAGCGGCCGATTCCACCTCATTCACTGCCTCACGTAATCTTGTAATGTCTTGCCCAACCATAACAACGCCTGTTACGCTGCCGTTGGCATCCAAACGCGCAGTGGCATTTAACAACATGTCCACCCGCTTGCCATCTTTGGTAATCAATGGGACCTCGAAGTTCGCAGTGTCCACTCCGTTGCAGGCTTGGGTCAGAACGTCGCGAACTTTGGGCACGTACTCTGGAGTGATGAACTCATTGACTAAGTGGTGGCCTAGGACTTCTTCTCGCGAGAATCCAGTCAGCTTGACAGCTTTCGTGTTCCATTCTGTCACGTTGCCCTCGACATCGACACCGATGATAGGCGCATTTGCACTCTCGATAAGTCGCTGCAAATCTTCGGCGATGGTCCGTTGCTCTGCTCGGCTTCGCTCGAAATCCGTCATGTCCTGCCCGACGCCGATTACACCATTGACTTCTCCAGTCGTTCCGCGGCGAGCTGTTGCATTTAGGGATATTTCTCGCCTGCTGCCGTCTTTAGTATGGAGTGGGAAAGTGAAATTCGCAGTATAGACCCCATCAAGGGCTTCCGTGAGTACCTGGTGGATTTCTGCCCGGAATTCACTACAAACAAACAGATCGACGAAATCTTTCCCATAACTTTCAGATTTGGTGTATCCAGATATCTCAGCAGCCTTTTGATTCCACTCATTGACACAACCTCCTGGGTCGATCCCAAAAATAGGTGCGTTTGCAGTGTCAATCAATCGCGTTAGATCATCAGCAATACGCTGGTTGTCGGTCAATGCTGCTCGCAAATTGGTGATATCTTGGCCGACGCCCAACATACCGACAACGTCACCATTTTCGTCCCTCCTTGTTGTCGCGTTCAGAAGAATGCATAAACGCTGCCCGCTCTTTGTGTCGAGCGGTAGCTCAAAATTCGCTGTCTCGTCGCCGTTCAACGCCTCTATAAGTACAGCCTGGACATCACGGGGGTGACTGCAACGTTGAACCCATTGGGCCCGCCCACAAGGACAATAATTTTGGCGAGCGCCGAGGAACCCTTGGGGTACAGCTTCTGCGCAAGAACGAACTCCATGGTGAGAGGTTCGGGCATGGGGGTAAACTACGTCTCAAATTTAGGAAATGGAAAACATTTGGACATGGGGGTCCCGCCCCCGCCGGCGAAACCGAAGGAGGAACAGCGTCTGAGTCTAACCTGTTGACCTACGAGAGCAGGATGGACAGTAAGAGCCAGAGTAGCTTAGAGTGGCGAGGCATAACCGCCGATCAGGCGTGTGAGTTCCGAAGCTGCTGGGGGGGGGAAGTACCGCCGCAACATACGATATCAGTACATCAAAAATAAGCAAACTATGCGGGGATCCTCGGTAACGTATTGGTGTCCTCACCTTTCTGGGCCTCAGAGTGCCTAAGAGTGCCCAAGAGGCAACCGACATCGCCCCAAGACAGCACAACATATTCTGCGGAGAGCCCAAAGAAGGCCTAAGAAAGCTCCAAGACGGCCCGACAGGCCCCCAAAGGAATCCTAATAAACCTTTACTGCAGCCCCACGGGGGGTCCCGGATTGCGATTTCGAGCCCTTCCTCCCAATCTCCCCAGAGGCTCCAAGGAAAATCCGAAGAGGTCAAGAAACTCCGAAGAAGCCTCCACGAGGCCTCCGAGAGGCATCAAAAACGTCTCTGACCCACGACCAAGGCACGGTGGCGGGATAGGCCAAAGGCCACTGAGAAGCCTCCCGGCGGCCTCTGAGAGGCATCCAAGACGCATCTGACCCACGACCAACGCACGGTGGCGGGATAGGCCAAAAGCCACTGGATCCGCCGCCCCCTGTCGATTCATCGCAGGGGTACCTGGCGTGCCGAATCCTAATTATCGGTTTTAGTTCTTGTCCAAAAGAAACTCACCCTGGGCCTTCGGCCCGTTTCGCTGGGGTCCCAGAAAGCCGCGTAAATCACCTCAGCGTCCCCACAAAATCCTCCAAGACGGCTCAAAATGGCCTCTAAGATGGCCATGTTGGCTCAAGATGGCCTCCAAGATGGTCCCAGATGGCCTCCAAGTTCGCATAAGATGGTCCAAGCCCAAGAGGCCCCCCAGAGGCCTCCAAGACGGCCTAAGAGGCCTCCCAGAGGTCCTTCAGGAGGGCCCGAAGAGGCCCAAATCATTGATTTCCCGTAGGTTTGTGAAAGATATTGGCATTCGCTTCTTCTCGGCCTTCCGACGACCCAAGACGGCCCAAGAGGCCCCCAAGATCGCCCCCACAGCGCCCAAGAGGCCTCCAAGATGGCCTCAGGACTGCCCAAGAGGCCCCTCACACATTTCGTGGCCCCATAGGAAGCTCCACCGAAGGCCCCAGCGGCTGCGTTCGCATGCCGCCACCTCCCTCACGTTGGCACGCCCCTCACACGTTTCGTGGGCCGATAGGGAGCTACATCTAAGGGCCCAGTGGCTGCGTTCGCATGCCGCCGCCCCCCCCCCTCCCTTTGGCACGCCCCTCACACGTTCCATGGCCCCATATGGAGCTCCACCTAAAGCTTCAATGGCTGCGTTCGCATGCCGTCACCCCCTCACTTTGGCACACCCCTCACACGGATTTTTGCCCCGCAAGGAGCTTCACCCAAGGACCCAACCGCTGTGTTCGCATGCCGCCACCCCCTCCCCTTTGGCATACCCCTTCACACGCTTCGTGGCCCCATAAGGAGCTCGACCGAAAGCCCCAGTGGCTGCGTACGCATGCCGCTACCTCCATCACTCTGGCACACCCCTTACACGTTTCGTGGCCTGATAGGGAGCTCCAACGAAGGCTCCAATAGCTCCGTTCGCATGCCACCACCTCCCTCATTTTGGCACACCCCTCACACGTTTCGTGCCCCCATAGGGGGAGGGAGCTCCACTGAAGGCCCCATGCGCCTTCAGCACCGATTTCGGCACACCCCTCATACGTTTTCGTGGCCCTATGGGGACCTCCACCGAAGGCCACAATGGCTGCATTCGCATGCCACCACTCCCCTCCCTCACTTTGGCAAACCCCTCACACGCTTCGTGGCCCCATAGGGAGCTACACCTAAGGCGGCCTCAGCAGTGGCTGGATTCGCATGCCGTCACCTCTCTCACTTCGGCACACCCCTCACACGCTTCGTGGCCCCATAGAGAGCTCCACCGATGGCCCAAGTGGCTGCGTTCGCATGGGCCCGCCGCACTCATGTCGGGAGCCTCCCCACACGTTTCGTGCCCCCGTGAGGAGCTCCACCGAAGGCCCCTGTGGCTGCGTTGGCATGCGCCAGGCGAAACCATGTCGGCACACCCCTCATACGTTTCGTGGCACCAGAAAGAGCTCCACCGAAAGCCCCAACCGCTGCGTTCACATGCGCCCGCCGCACACATGATTGCACACCCTCACACGCTTCGTGGCCCGATAGGGAGCTCCACCGGAGGCCCAAATGGCTGCGTTCGCATGCGCTCGCGGCACCCATCTCGGCACACCCCTCACAAGCCTTGTGGCCCCACAAGGAGTTCCAACGATGGCTCCAGTGGCTGCGCCCGCATGTGCCAGCCGCACGAATTTCGGCACATCCCTCACACGCTTCGTGGCCCCACTGGAAACTCTACCGAAGGCCACAATGGTTGCATTCGCATGCGCCCGCCGCACCCATCTCGAAAGCCCCCCCACACAATGGCTGCGTTCGCATGCGCCAGCCGCACCCATGCTGGCACACCCGTCACACGTTTCGAGGCCCCGTAAGGGGGGAGTTCCACCGAAGGCCCCAATGGCTACGTTCGCATGCGCCCGCCGCACCCATGTCGGCACACTCACACGCTTCGTGGCCCGATAGGGAGCTCCACCGAAGACGATACTGCAACACCGTCACTCACAACTGCATATGGCTGGGTCCTTCGCCAGGCGAATGTTTTGGGCCACATCTACGACTGGGTCCACGAAGAGCGCTTGAAGGAAAGCCACGGAAGTAACTACCCAAAGAGCAGCGAGCCCGTTCCAAACCAGAACTGGCCCTTATTTCGGTGCCTTAGCTGTAATCGACTTGGCAGGGTGGGTCGGCGGCGCGCCCAGGGGGAAGGCAGGGGGGGCGGGCCTTTCCAGCAGGCTCAGAAGGTCCCCGGCCTTCTGAGAAACTTTCTAACTAACGCTTCTATGGAGTCAAAACTTCTCAGAACGCCCGCCCGATCTGTCTTCCCCCGCCGGCGCGCCGCCGATAATCGGCTTGGCGGGGTGGAATTTCTGTCAACCTCCGAACGCCTGGACTCTCTCGCGGTGCTCCGGGTTGATGAAATCGCGCACCAACGGTCGTCCCATGGTCTCCTCCTTAGAGAAGCCGGAGATCTCGGCGGCCTTGGAGTTCCATTCGTTCACGTTGCCGTCCGCGTTGACGCCGAAGATGGGCGCGTTGGCCGTCTCGACCAGGCGCTGCCAGTCTGCCGCAAGGCGCTCGTGCTGCGCGCTGATCTGCTTGAGCTCCGTGAGGTCTTGGCCCACGCCGATCACTCCGATGATCTCGCCGAGAGGTCCCCGACGGGCAGTCGCATTCAAATTGATGTCTCGTCTGCGGCCATCCTTGGTGAAGAGCGTCCAGGTGTAGTTCGCCGTGTCCTTCCCAGAGAGCGCGGCATCCAACACCTGGTAGGTTGGTGCACCAGCACAGGTGACAGACACGTTGCCAGGGTGTCGGGGCAGGGCGAGAGAAGAGTGTCGGGCGGGGGCAAGGGACGTGCAGGAGGGATGCAAGAGCAGAACGAAGCGAGACAAGCACACTGGAAGGGGGATAGGAGGAGGATGGAAGGGAGGTGGAAACGAAGGCAAGAACGGAGGAACGGATGAGAGCACAAACGAAATTATTTAATGGGGACAGAAAGAAAGATGTGTATCAGCCACCGTGCCCTGAGGCACGAGTTGGAGGGTTCTTAGGCCCTTTGCCGAATCCCTCATGCCTCAGTCCTCAATCCAGAGGATTCGTTGAAGGTGCCCAGACAACGAACTCTCAAATATATCGGAGTCTCCCGCGTGCCCCCCGCGGGTCCCCACGTCCTCTCGCGTGACCCTTTCGGAGCCAAGAGGGCCCCACGATGGGTCACAAGAGGGTCTCAAGAGGCCCCCAGCACGGTCAAAGAAGGCCCCGAATCGCCGAACAGTCGGTCCAAGATGACGAAGATGGCCTCCAGTCGGCCCGACAAAGTGCACAAGACGTCCCAAGAGGCCTCTCAAAGCGAGCCAAAGCCCCCCCCCATTACGGCCCCGAAAAGCCCAAATCATGGATTATCCTCAGGTATTTGAAGGATATTGGCGTTCTCGCCTGTTCGGCTTCCCGGCGCTGCGAGACGGCCCAAGAAGCCCCCAAGATCGCCCCAAAACAGCCCAAGATGCCTCCAAGAGGGCAACCAAACGGCACAAGAGAGCCCCAAGACGGCCCAAGAGGCTCCCAAGACGGCTCCAAGAGGGGCCCAGACGAGGGACGCGAACAATCATTTTGAGCCCTCGGCCCCAAGTAGCCCCAGGAGGCCCCAAGAGGCCCTCCAAAGGCTCCAAGAGGCACCAGGAAAGCCCCAAGGGGCCCCCAGGAAGCCCCAAGAGGTCCCCAAGAGGCTCCCAAGAGGCCCCAGCACTCTCCCCCGAGGCCCCCCAGAGCCCTCCGAATAAACCCAAATAAGCATCCCTGAAAAGACTGACCCACAATCCAGGAACGATGGCGGGCTGGGCCGAAGGCAAGTCGATAACTGGATCGCCACAAGCAGCAAAATCAGTGCACGTCAGAAGAGTCACACATTAATACAAACAGAGCGCACATCAAAAGTCAGTACATAAAAATGAAGAGCATACAAGCGCTAGTCAGACACATTTCATCGACACTCATGACTTTGAACACCGACAAGTTCCCAATCGATGCTTTTACTGAGGAACACTCATCTGGGCCTTTATCTAGATGGTCATGTCTGATGGCTTACGAATGACTGACCACAGTGTCCCTGCCACTGGGTCCCAACTACGCCGCACATCTAGTCACTTCCTGGTGGTTGCTCATACGATCCCTGCCACACCGTTCTGTTGTCTTCTCGCTGATTGTCCGTAGGGTCCTGGACTGGGTCCTGAGAAAATCTGTGCCTGTTGACTTTCCTGTTGTTGTCAATTCGGTGCCAGCCGCTGATTGCTCCGAAGCGAAACCGCTAAACTGAGAACCAACGAGGACCTACGAGCACCTCGAACATGGAACCTCTTCGGTCCTCGTTACGCCGTGGCGGCCCTTAAACACCAGGAGCGCAGCAGATCGGCGGCACAGGCCGGAGGCCATTCAAATCTAGAAATATGTCCTAGCAGCACTATCTAAAGGATGCGTTCCAAGTGCAAGGGAATTGCTGGATGAAGGCGGTCCTTCGCTGCGTGTTTGCACTCAAGGGCAAACACCATGAAACCTGCAGATGCATTCACACGTGACCATAATGTGCTTGAGCAGTGAACGCACGCCTAGCAACATGTATTGCTGCGCGCGGGCTTGTCAAAAAGCGCAATCCTGACGCACATCCTCGCGGAATTCTTCAGATATGAAGGAGTCCACGAAACCCTTGCCCAACGAATCCTCCTTGCTGTAACCAGACACCTCGGCAGCCTTCTGGTTCCATTCGGTCACCCGTCCCAACGTGTCGATGCCCAAGATTGGTGCGTTCGCTGTGTCGATCAGCCGTGTCAGATCATCTGCAATACGAGAATTTTCTGTGAGGGCTTTTCTCAAGTTTGTAATATCTTGGCCTACACCGAGCACCCCCTTCACAGCACCGTGTTCGTCACGCTTCGTACTGGCATTCAACAAGATGTTGATGTGCCTGCCGTCCTTAGTTGTCAGAGGGAACTCGAAATCAGCTGCCTCCACACCGTTAATTGCTTGAGTAAGGACTTCATGCACTCGTTCACGGTGCTCTATTGTGATAAACTCTCTCACGAACGGGCGATCAATAGCCTCCTCCTTGGAGAACCCTGAAATCTCAGCTGCTTTGGCATTCCACTCGTTGACTTTCCCCTGCAAGTCCACCCCAAAAATTGGCGCGGTTGCTGTTTCAATGAAACGTTGCCACTCGTTAGCAAGGCGCTGGTTTTGCGCACTTATCCTATTGAGCTCAGTGATGTCCTGCCCTACTCCGATCACACCTGTGATCTCTCCCCTCGGACCACGGCGAGCAGTCGCATTTAGTGAAATCTCTCGTCTGCGGCCGTCCTTGGTGTACAATGGGAATGTGTAATTGGCCGTGTCGGCTCCGTTCAAAGCCTTCGTCAGCACCTCGTTTACGTCGGCTCTAAAATCCTCGGTGATAAGATTCTGCACGAACAACTCTCCAAGAACATCTGATTTCCCATAGCAGGACACATCAGCAGCCTTCTGATTCCACTCTGTTATTCGTCCTGCTGTGTCGATTCCCAGGATGGGCGCGTTTGCAGTATCGATCACGCGCATCAGATCGTCAGCGATACGTGAATTTTCGGTCAGCGCAGCTCGCAAGTTCGTGATATCCTGACCTACCCCAAGGACGCCAACAACAGCACCTACCTCATCTCGCTTTGTGGTGGCATTTAAAAGAATGTGGATAAGCGTTCCGTCCTTCTTTGCCAAGGGGAACTCGAAGTTCGCCGTCTCCACACCTGATGGGCAACGATAGGGATGGTCTGGCTCGGGAGGGGGAGCATCTACCTGGAATCGGCGGTACATCGCCGATAGATCGGCGACAAGCTCCCGATAGCGAATCTGCCCGTTCCTGGGCGGGGTGGGCTGTCGGGCCGTTTCGGCGATCAGTGGGGTTCCCCCATGAGCATGTCCCCCCGTAACGCTGCCCCTGAACACCGGTCATTGCCATGTTGAGCACCATCTTCACCCTCTCCTGATGTTCTGGTGTGATGAACTCTCGCACCAGCGGGCGTCCGATCGTCTCCTGCTTCGAATAGCCTGAGATCTCCGCAGATTTGGCATTCCACTCGCTTACGTTGCCATCGGCATCGACTCCGAATATGGGCGCATTGGCAGTTTCAATGAGCCGCTGCCAATCAGCGGCAAGTCTTTCATTCTGCGCACTAATCTGGTTCAGCTCTGTGATATCCTGTCCAACTCCGATCACCCCTATGATCTCACCACTGGGTCCTCGGCGAGCAGTTGCGTTCAAAGATATCTCGCGCCTGAGGGCCGATTATTTCCAACGCGTCCCTCGTAATTGCAATGGCGCAACGGCTCGAGGAGGTCAAGAGCGAGGTCCGCCACCCCCTTTGGAGTTTTTGCGAGCGCTAGAACAATAGCCGCCTGTGACCCCGCCCGCCTCACGATCCTAGCTCCCTCTGGCTCGATTTTGAAGAAACCTGTCGCATCTGACAAAACATTAGCATTCGAGATGATTCGAAGATGCTTCCCATCACCCTGCAGGACTGAGAGCGGTCCCGACGAGACCCCAATACTCCAGGAGGGCATCGATGCAATACAATTCATGCATTGTGCTTGCTTTGGGAGTCGTGCTGAAGGGATCCATCGATTAAATTCACTCAATAAGTCTCAAGATGTACAGACTCACCTTCCCATGGACACGGTACCCTACAAGCCTCACGGCGCTGCGCATAACAACAATCAATGCGCCCATAACCAACCGTTACACGAGGTGTGCCAAACATGTGCTTTACCAGAAGAGCTTGCGACGCCAACTGTAAATACGTAGCACCCCGCAGTCGCGGATAAGGGTGAGATGGCGTTGGGGCCCACCGCCACACAATTTCTCGCCCCAAACCGACCGAAATCCCCCTTTCTCGCCCCGGCATCCCCACCCCACAGAACCTCTGTTCTTGGGACCCCCCACCACACACTTATTCGCCCCAAACCGACCGATACCCCCCTCCTCGCCCCGGCATCCCCGCCCCACGGAGCCTCTGTTCTTAAGAACCCCCTCCACGCAATTTTTCGCCCCAAACCGACCGATACCCCCCTCGCCCCGGCATCCCACTGCACGGAACCTCTGTTCTTGGGACCCCCCACCACACACTTATTCGCCCCAAACCGACCGATAACCCCCTCCTCGCCCCGGCATCCCCACCCCACGGAACCTCTGTTCTTGGGGCCCTCCACCACACAAAATCTCGCCCAAAACTTACCGATACCCTCCTCCTCGCCCCTGCATCCCCACCCACGGAACCGTTCTTGGGACCCCCCACCACAAAATTTCTCATCCCAAACCAGCCGATCCCCCCCCCTCGCCCCTGCATCCACACCCCACGGAACCTCTGTTCTTGGGACCCTCCACTTCACAAATTGCCCAAAGCCGACCGATACCCCCCTCCTCGCCCCGGCATCCCCCCTCTGTGGGGCCCCCCACCACATAGTTTCTCTCCCAAACCAACCGATACCCCCCTCCTCGCCCCAGCATCCCCACCCCACGGACCTCTGTGCTTGGGGCCCCCCATCACAAAATTTCCGCCCCAAACCGACCGATGCTCCCCTCCTCGCCCCGGCATCCCCGCCTCACGGAACCTCTGTTCTTGGGACCCCCCACCACATAATTTCTCTCCCAAACCAACCGATACCCCCCCCCTCGCCCCGGCATCCCCACCCCACGAACCTCTGTTCTTGGGGCCCCCCATCACAAAAAAATTCGCCCCAAACCGACCGATGCTCCCCTCCTCGCCCCGGCATCCCCGCCTCACGGAGCCTCTGTTCTTGGGACCCCCCACCACACAATTTCTCGCCCAAAACCGACCGATACCCCCGTCCTCGCCCTGGCATCCCCACCCCACGGAAACTCTGTTCTTGGGGCCCAGCATCACAAAATTTCTCGCCCCAAACCGACCGATACACCCCTCCTCGCCCCGGCATCCCCACCCCACGGAAACTCTGTTCTTGGGACCCCCTTCGCACAATTTCTCGCCCAAAACCGACCGATACCCCCCTCCTCGCCCCGGCTTCCCAACCCCACAGAACGGCATCGAGTAACCCATAGCAACGAGGACGCATCAAGCGAAGATGGCTGGACGACCTCATGTCAGATCATGTCCGAGCCCCAGAGTTGTGACGAAGTGCGAAGTGAAATTGGCTGGACCAGCTGAGGTCAGGGCATCCATTGGTCCTGAATTGCGGGAAGCTGGATGGACCTCCCGCGTGCCTCGAAGCCCAGAACTGCGAGGGTGTTTCAAGCACAAAGGGCTGGATCGCCTTAGGACAGCGGCGAGGATGACTAAGCGAAATGGCCTGGACTATCTCTCGCGCGGCATCACGAAGCCCATTGCAAGGGTGTCTCAGGCAAGACCGACCGGACTTCCTCACAAGCGGCATTTCAAGGCCCAAAATGACGATGATGGCTTCGCGTAAACTAGCCCGGATAAGTTCTCGCATGGGGCCTCCTAGCTGAAAAACTCCCCCTGCCTCGTGGGCAGGAGATGGTAAATTGCGATTCCCTGTCCGACCCCATTTGTCCCCTTCGGGGATGGGGTCATCGCTGCTCCAGGATAATATTTGCCACCTCGCCCAATCCACCGACCGCTAACTCCAGTCGCTGCCACCCCCCACGGTTCCACCAACAAAAATATTGAAATGCCCCCAGACGGCTCCGCCATTGGGGCGCGGAAATACTATGCGATCCGTCAGAACCATGATCATCGGATTGCCCTGGTTATGTAAATCCGCCACCGTGCCTCTGGGCACGGAATGGGCGTGCCCTCAGGTCCTTGCCATCATCCTCTCAACCTCAATCCTCATTTCTGAGGAGTCGTTCAGAGAACCAAACGCCACATCGCGAAATCTTATCATGGGGCTTCTCGCGGTTTCTCGCGCGACGGTTTCGGAGCGATGGGGGCCCGAAGACGGGCCAACAGCCCTCAAGAGGCCCCCGACGGTCCCAGGACGCCCCGAGACGTTCAAAGATCGCCCCAAGACGCCCTACATGGCGTCATGATGGCCCAAGAGGCCTCCAAGATGCCCCAGGAGGCCTCGAAGATGTCTCCCAAGAGAACCCTGACAGGGAAAAAACATTGATGTGCCTTCGTTGCTTGAAAAATCCTTACCGACGCTCCCAGACGGCCTGAGGTCCCCAATACTACCCCAGGACTGTCCGAGAGGCCTCCAAGAGGGCCCCAAGACTTCCCTCGAGCGCCCGAAGACGGCCCAGCAAGCGCCCAAGACGGCCCAAAAGGCCCCACGACGGCCCCACACATTGCGAGAACACGAACCGAGAATCCGAGCGTTCCGCCCCGCGAGGCCCCCAGGAGGCCCCGAGAGGCTCCGAGAGGCCCTAAGAGACCCCCACGGGACCCAACAGCGACCCCAAGGAGCTCCAAAGCTGCCCCGAGAGGTCTCTAAACTGCATCCACGAGGCACTCTACAAAGAACCCCCACGAAATCCAAACGGACTTTCGCTAGGCTACATACCCACAACCCAGGCATAGTGGCGGGATGGACCGAAGGCAATTCGATAGAGAGGAGTCCGAGGTGCGACAGCGAATCATGGGTCCAAGGGGCGAGGGTCAAGCCTGGTGTCTCACCTGAACCCTTCCTGCCGCGCTCGGAA